GCTGCTGTTGCTGCTGCTGCTGTTGCTGCTGCTGCTGCTGCTGCTGGTATAGGTACTGCTGCTGCTGTAGCTGTTGCTGCTGCTGTAGCTGCTGCTGCTGCTGTAGCTTCTGCTGCTGCTGTAGCTGCTGCTGCTGTTACTGCTTCTTCTGCAGGTGTAACTGCTACCGCTGCTCACGCCGCTCTGTATGTTGTGTTTATACTGCTGCTGCTTCTGCTGCTGCTGCTGCTGCTGCTGCTGCTGCTGCTGCTGCTGCAGGTTGTCTTCTTCTGTGCGGGGTTGGCTGCCGCTCTGCTGCCTGAGCGACGTGCCGCTGCAGCAGCTGCCGAAGGATGCAGCAGCAAAAGCAACGATGAGTATACGGGTGCTGCGGCGGTTCTGCTGCAGCAGCTGTGATTTTATAGAATCTTCTGCTGCTGCTGCTGCTGCTGTTCTCAGCAGCTGCTGCACACACGCTGCTGCTCCGCTGCAGCAGCAGCAACAGCAGCAGAAACACCAGCAGAAACAGCTGTATCCAATCAACAGCAGCAGCAACAGCAGCAGCAGCAGCAGCAGCAGCAGCAGCAGCAGCAGCAGCAGCAATATATTTACTGTATTTGAACGCGGAATGCTTGCTGCTGCTCTTATGGCTATGGGGGGGGGAGGGGGGGGCCGTTTGCTGCTGACGAGGAGAAAGCTGCTGCTGAAGCTGCAGTCTCCGTTGCTGCCTCGCCCGCTGCAGCTATCTGCTGCTGCTGCTGCTGCTGCTGCAGCAGCAGGTGGTAGTGGTGGGGGGGAGGTTGTGCAGCAGCAGCTGCTGCTGCAGCAGAAGAAGCAGCAGCAACCTATATATATTGAAAGGGGCCGTATACTACTTGGCTATGTGAGTGAGATAAAACTACTGCAGCGCAAGCAGCAGCAGCAACAGCAGCAGCAGCAGCAGCAGCAGCAGCAGAAGCAAGTGTTGCTGCGCTTCTTTGGCCCCTTCAAGGCCACACTCTCCCAGGCGGATGTCGCCGCAGCAGAAGCAAACGGAAAAGAATTCAAACTCGGTACACTCGTCAAGGTCAGCAGCAGCAGCAGCAGCAGCAGCAGCAACAGCAGCAGCAGCAGCAGCAGCAACAGCAGCAACAGTAGCAGCAGTAGGAGAAACAACAACAACAACAGC